CTTGATCAGTAAAAACCCATTTCTTTTAAAGAAAAAGATGACAATTTCCATGGAATATTTTGGCGGGGAAAAACTGGTAGCCTTCAAAGAGTCCATCAGCATTAAGGAGGGGCTTGCCTAGAAAAGTGCATTGATAGTCATTGTGTCGCGAAAGTGAGGGCAAAGAAGTTTGTGGATAGGGTGAAGCACGCTCAACTGTCTATTTGTTGCAATAATAAATGGCTCAATCACCGCATGAGTGTGCAACCTGGGACGACAAGTGGGATATTTATCAATAAAAATGAAATCATAAATTTGAATTTATTTTTGCTTGTTGTAGAACATACCAGTGACTGATGAGTTGATGATAGCCGGCGTCATTAACAGAAACATAGGCTTTTGCCAGCTGCCACATTGAGCCTTCAACACAATTTTCAGTTGGTGTGAGTACTTTACTAATAGCACCAAGTTGATCTTCCTCAGGATGAGGCAAGCTTAACTCAATAGCTAGTGGCTTTAAGGTCTCGTCATCCTTCAAGAAGAGGAGTGTCCTAGATGCATATGTCTTCGTGGAAGTGGTATTTAGTTTCCTCAAATATGGTATCAAATGATCGTGGTGATCTAAAATGAATAGTCTTTTCTGCTCCAATGCCTGTTTAACAGGAAAAACTAATAATAATTCACCGGTAGAATGATTTGCATTATAAGATATAAGTTCATCATAAATTTTAAAGTTATCACCTCTTCTGTATTAAGTCCATCTAAGTTCTTCTCAATGTGGCTTTTGTTAATTGAGCTACTTTGATCACCATATAGCTAAGGGTCTAGCTTGCTCTTGGGAGAAAATTCCTATAATCAATTTCCACCAAATTAAACTTTCCAAAAAAAAAAGAAATTATTAAAATATTAAACCACTAGAAATACTTTAAATTTACCTGAAGCAGGAACATAACTACGGGATTTACTCCAGCCAACATTTCCCTTGCAAATTCTTCATCTATCCTCCATGCCGACTTATCCTCTGTTTATTTTCAAATTAAGATCTATCAAGTTCACAAACCATGAAATGGATAGAATATTGACTTGATATTTTGGATTTTGTACTAGTTGAAAGAGGTCAAACATCTTCCTACCTTTAATGACTTGAGGCAGTGGAAAATTGAAGTGGCTTTCACCATCTGTTCGCAAGATTCTTTTAACATCTCAAACGAGATGTTTTCCCTTATATGATCAAGAAGAGAACTGTGGGACAAACTGCTTCCTTCTCTGTAAAGTTTCATCATATCTTCCAAAGAGTCGAACTCATTAATGTTCTTCTCGAATAAAGCTTTGATCTCTGGTTTGATAAAGTGAACTATAGATTTAAATGCATAGGCAAAGAAATCAGACATCTTCAAATGATTAAATTTCTCGTCTCTTGGAATGTAGATGTCTAAACTCTTTATAAGTGGTATTCTGCTTTCGCTCTTAGGATCTGTTACAGTGAGAAAATAATATTAACACTTACGAAAAGATTTTATACATATATTTGTTTTGTCTTATCGGTAAAAGAAAAATTTATCACGTAAACAAAGCGAATAAAAAGTATATAATTTGAGTATCTAACTTATTTCTGATCGTGGTCGACCTGTCCTTCCTCTTCAAGGATAAGGATACTAAGTCGATCCTCCAAGAATTGGTCGAGGACTTTTTGCAGGTTCACCCAAATCATTGGAGTAGTCATAATCATACACTCTATCTCTTTCCTTTAGTTCCTTTTTCATATCTCCTCTTAGATTCGTCAATTCTTCTTCTCTATACTTGCACAATGGCAATGGGGTCTGGTTTGGGAGGTATGTCTGTTCAAAAAAAAAACATATGAAGTTTTTTTACTTTAACAAACATTAAAGAGTAGATAGTTTGATTTAATAAAACTATTGCAATCAAATGGTTTATTTTACGCCAGATCTAATAGGAAATTTTACTTAAAAACTGACACTCAAGATTTTAGTTCTTTTTTAAGAGAAAACATATTAGTTTTAGTTGAATAATTAATCAAGCACGTTTACTAATCAAATAATCCTAATAGACCTATTGACTAAGAAAAAGAGGAAAGGTAGAATTGAAACTTCAGTAGATGTCTGTTGGAAGCAACATTGAAACTTGTGTAGAACTAATGTCAAACAAGTTACCTTATTAATGAAGAAAATGCGATATTTCTCATTATCAGTAGTAGGATAAATCCACGAATTGCAAATAAAATGCATCCGTCCTTCACCAGGAACATCTTCAAGTGTAAGACTCTTGAGATATAACTCATTGTTATGGTCATTGCATATTAAGAATGCTCTTGGAATTCAGATATCTTCCCCCAAATCAAGGGTGACCTTATATGCAGATTCATCTGTGACTAGAAGAGTTGTCGTACCAATCCAGTTTTTCAGAAATTCTTTCTTTCCTAATTTTCCTTTCAACTCATTTGCTGCATTAACACATAAAATCAGGAACCATTAAGCTCATTTGTTGCCTTTTAGCGAGACCATAAACAACCAAATTGAACAAATCACAAAGAAAAATCAAAACTCAAGATGGAGCAAAGGGAAATTTAAAAGGCAAAAGCCACTCAACAGCTGCTGAGTCACTGTTTTGGGCACTGACGAGTTGCAGAGAGACTTGGTTGCGAAACAGTTCGTGAAGATCGTCACTCACCAATGCACCCAAGTCGGTGATCTCAGCTACATTCTTCTTCATCAAAAAGACGGTACCCTGGATCTTCTTCCCCACGATCTCCTCTGTTGTTTGGATCAACATAGCTTTGAATGAATATCACTCTCTTGGGATTAATTAATTACGTCGAAAGCTTGAGTAGTTGTTCGTATATGTGATGGTCAAAAGGAGAAGAGAAGCATTGAAATATTTATAGAGCACACCAGACACCAGCAGGCGCTAACCTATATTGATAAGCTTTTTTCAATTTCAGAAACTTAATAAATAACGGTTAAAAGTTTCCTTTTCTGTTCAAACACGACTTTCCTTTATTTGTAAATGATCAATGAGTGCACATAAACTATTTTGGAAACCTAAAATTCTTTTTTCCCGTTCAACATAAACATTGGGATGAAATTAGATGACAATCAAAATCTTTTGGGGATTAACTTTCTTACAACATAAACCAGCAAAAAGGATAAAGAGATAAAGAGAGAGAGTTACCTTATCGAGCTAATTTAGACTACTTCTCCTTTGACCTAATCAGATGTCTTTGTTCACCTTTTAGTACTCTCCTGGAATGCATCCATCTAAGGAAAATTGTTATTGCCATTGTTTCCAATTTCTGAGCTCTGATGCACTCCATTTGTTCAATGGTTTTCCCTTTTCCCTCAGATAGAAACTTTTCAGATCAGAAAAAGGTTTTACACCATTACTGTGGTTGAAGACTTTTAGTGGAGTGTGAAAAGGTCAGACAGTATGATGTCCGCTTAAAATTTGTTCAATTTTAAGCTTTTCAAAGCTCTTAATATATGAAATTTTAGCTTCTATTTAACTTTTTATTTTTGGGAAAGAAAATGAACTTTTAATTAATTAATTAAAGTTAATTAGTGAATTAATATTTAAAAATTTATATAAAATTTTAGAAATATATGATTGACCTTTATCATTATATTTATTTAGATACAATTCTTGTGATTCTATTTTTCTCAATAATGATACGCAATAACAATTCATAAAAAGTCACTAATTCTATTTTTTTAAACTATAAATTAATCTTTAAAAATTCATGTAAAGTCTCATGACAACAAACATAATACAATTAAAATATGATCATCATAATTAATTTTCATTATTAAGATATATTATAATTGAATTAAATTCATCAAGATTTTGGTTAGTGGACGTATATTTACTCATTCTCATATTATATAACATTTTTTTCAAAGAAATGCAAGATTGTCAGCGATTTATCGGAGTACAACTTTTTTAATTTTTTACACACTGTTAATGTCGAAAGTTCTCTACCAATTTCACACATAATATTATCAGTTACACTCATAAAAATAACACTCAAGACTCTCTTTTTCAAGTTTGACTTGTCAATTTCTTGTATCCCATTGGAAATTTCTACCTAATTTGCTTCCATAAATCTCATAAAATCAGGGTCGATTTCATTTTAATCTTTTCTAGACTTAAACTTGTTCCACTATCAAACTTTTCTGCATCATACTTTGCAAAAGATGAAGATGCCATATAGAAACCTTAGATTCTGTGTAAAGCCAAAATGCAAAAAGAAATATCGTTGCACTAATTGTCAAATATAAGTTGTTGCACACTTGAGCAGAAACCACCGAGCCACTGCGCGTAAATTGTAGGATTGTAATATATTCACAATATGCAATGGAAGAAATAAAATAATTCAATATGATCTATTTGTGTCTTGAAAGTTCTATTACATGTTAAAAATTAAATCTAAAACATATACTCAAATCTTTATAGGTCTTCACCTTTCTGTATGCTCCAATTTTTTCTTAAATATCCATTTACAACCAATAAGCTTTATATCCTTTGAGGTTTCAACTAAAGTTCAAATTTTGTTGACCTTCATGGATTCCATTTAAGATTCCATGGTCTTTATCTATTTCTCATAATCAGAGTTTTGCATAGCCTCTTTATAAGTTTTAGGGTCATCATCATCATGATCAACCTCATTAAGTCCATCATCTTGCACCATAATATTCAACCTATCTTATGCATAATGTTGTTTAATAGACCTTCTAAGAGGTTCATGTATAACTTGCTCACCTTGTACGAGATTAGGTTGTTGTTCAATCTAATTTTAAATAGATTCATTAACTGGTTCTTGAATAAAATTTGTTTCGTGAAATTCAATCATTGGAGATGACAACGTCCTTCTCATCTTCAAAACATCTAGTAAATGTTACTTAACTTGTTTCTCATGATCTTATTGTATTGATTCATTAATTTTTTTAACTTCATCAAGTTCAATTCTTTCACCATGATTTCCTTCTAAAAAAGATGGTCTTTTCAAAAAGGTTGTTTCTCTGGCCACAAATACTTTTTGGTCAGATGGATAATAGAAATAATATCCGATTGTTTCTGTGGGGTACCAAATGAATCTGCACTTACAGATCTTGAGTCAAATTTATTGATTTGCAATCTCTTAACATAAATTGGACAACCCCAAACTTTAACATGCTTAAGGCTCAGTTTATATCATTTTCATATCTCATATGGTGTTATAGAGACTGACTTAGTGGGTACTTTATTTAGCAAATATGCTGTAGTTTTCAAAGCATATCCTCATAAATTAATTGAAAGATCTGTAAACTCAATCATTAATCTCACCATATCTAATAAGGTTTGATTTCTTCTTTCAGACACACCATTGTGTTGTGGTGTTCTAGGAGGGGTCCACTATGAGAGAATCACATTCTCTTTGAGATATTCAGTAAAATCATCATGAAGATATTCTACTCCTCTATCAGACCTTAGCACTTCAATGCTTTTACTAGTCTGTTTCTCAATTTTTCTATGAAATCTGTTGAACATTTTAAAAGATTCAGATTTATATTTCATAAGAAACAAATCTATATCTTGACATATTATCAGTGAATATGATAAAGTAAGAATATTCTCATATGACTTAGATACAATTCTTGGGATCTATTTTTCTAAATAATGATAATGAATAATAAAGTTGTTATTTGATATATTTGTTGAATAATATATTTTGCCTA